CTCTCTTCATTCTTTTCTTTTATAGAGAAGCCAAACAGGAAACCATATTAGTAGTGTGCATGGAGGCTTTCTTGATCCTTTACCTAAGGTTAAGCAAGCTCCAGTGTCTAACAGGCTACGATCAGCGGAAGGAAAGGCGATGACAGCTGGCTATAAAATGGTGTTACGCATTATGATTTTTAGGGATAGTTGAATAGGGGAATTATTCATGAGTCCAGAATTTGAGTATGATATAATACTTGTGGCCAATTATCTACGTAACCATAAGGAAAATCTGAGCTTCGCAGTTAAGCCACGGCTGCTTTTATCAGCCTTTTCAAAACCCTAAAAATATCAATAAACAACGTAAGCGGTCTTTGTTCGCAGCCTATTTACGGCCTGGACAATAAGAGCAAAGAACACAAGAAGTCGTAAAAAATCAGACGAAAGTGCATGAAATTAGAATTAGGGATACAATATTGCAATACGATAGTGGTTGATTCCTCGGTTCTGGTGAGGCGTCACTTCTGCACTTTGAACTAGCCCCCTTGTAGCTCGCTGGATGGGCTGGACTTTTGGGCTATGCCAATAGTCCGGACACCTTCTCTGCGCTGAATATATGTATTCTGCCCGAGTATTGTGTCTTCTTTTGTCTTCAGAGAGCCTCGAGACGCTACAATATGCTATAGAAATAGGTAAGCTAGGCAAAATCTGCAGGCGCATGTACAAACCAGCCCTTTTAAAAAAGGCGATATGTGCATTAAGCAAAATGCCGATATGTAGCGTCCCGGGACTCCCTGAAGACGAAAGAAGACACAATACTCGGGCAGAATATATATTTAGCACGGAGGTGTCTGGGCTATTGGTATGGCCCAAAAGGCCAGCCCACCCAGCGAGGTACAAGGGGGCTAATTCGAAGTACAAAAGTGGCGCCTCACCGGAACTGAGTGATAAACCACTATCGTATTACATAGCCTCCCTCCTCTTTTGAGCGTCGTCCCCGGCGCTCCCACTGGTCAACCTCCCGCGTCAGCCATTACAACATAGTCGGTGCAGCAAAGAAACACCCACGAGCCAACCGTGCCAGTCACCAAATTAGTGCGCAACTGAGGGGATGCTTGACCTCAACGTCACCGATCCCTCTTGGCGGCTTGACTGGATCTGGGGTCTCGTCCGGTTTAGGGATTTGATTCAGGACGGGGAACTGCGCCGGCCATCATGCGTGTCCATAGATAGATGCAGGAACACTGTCCTAAAAGCAGATTTGAGTAAGGAAGTACAAGATTTAAAACAGGTCCATGGGGGACGGTAGGGGAAATCCGTAACAAAACTTCCAGGTGTTTCATGGCTGGTGTCGCTTCAGTTGTTAACAGCTTTTCTGCAGAACACGGGACTGGGAGAGATGCCGAAGGTAGACGTTAACATCAACCCTTCTGTTAGGGGTCATCACCATTCTCCCATCCGTAGCATATGTACTTCTTCCGCTCCACTAAGGCTTATTACGCAGAAGTGGAAAATCATGATACATGTCTTTCAAGATCGGGTTCGCTTTCCGCTGCCACCAATGTAGCGTCCCGGGACTCCCTAAAGACGAAAGAAGACACAATACTCATGCAGAATATATATATTCAGCACGGAGAAGGTGTCTGGGCTATTGGCATGGCCCAAAAAGCCACGCCCACCCAGCGAGGTACAAGGGGGCTAATTCGAAGTACAAAAGTGGCACCTCGCCAGAACTGATTGATAAACCACTATCGTATTACAGACAAGTTAGGTCAAACTCATGACGCAGGAAAATTCATTAATCCAAAAAATTAGCGATCTTAATCTAAAAGCTGCATTTGCAAGCGCAGAAATACAAAAGAGGAAGGTGCATTTTTGACTAAATTTGAAGGTGAAACAAGCCGATAATATACAAAAAAGTAAAAACCAAAGGAAAAAATGTTTGACCAGTATAGCTACAAGAATTCTTGCAATAATATCAAGTGTTAAAATCACACAAGAAATGTAAAACAAAGGAACACAAATCACAAAACAATAATCATCTACGCTTTTAAAAGGTCGAAAATTCGCCAAAACATAAATGCAGAAGAAGCATTAAAAATTAGCGTTAAATAAACAAGCTAAAATTTTTGACATCCTGTTTTAATTGTTCAGGACAGCGCTTCCGCAAACATGCCCTTCAATATAAAATTGCATCAGGACCTGTTAGTTGTGCATAGTGTTACGCTATGGGTGATCGCGGCATCGGAAGTGGAGACTCAGTGAATATGGAGGACAGGGCCTTAATTGACAAGCAAATAGAGCCCACAGAAAAATTGGAAGACGAGTATCCTCTACTCACTAAGGAGGATTTGCTACGATTAGATGCTGAAGAGCCAATTTGGCGTCGAGTGCGAATTGCACTCATT